CTCTAGCCTGCACGGTAAAGTCCCCAGCATGATACCCCACCACGTACACCCCACCCCTTTGTAGCAGCCACGTGTTGAAATGGTAGAGTCACACAGTGGGAGGGGCCTGGGCATCTGAATTGCTCCTTGTAGGAGGACTGCCCAGGAGAGAAGCAAACCTGGATTCAGTCTGCCACGGAGAATATAGGTGGTCTGTTAAACAGCAAGCACCACTCTCTGCAGCTCATCTACCACATGACACAGAAATGAATATTCTCCATAAAAACAAAAAGATTTCTGACGTTGGGAATGGGCTAAACTTTCTCCAAACCAAGTAAGTATGCACAGGGCATAGGGTGAAATGAAAAAAACATGCACCAAAGATACCGGAAGAAGCAGATAACCAAGAGTGGCTAGGGAACAGACGTGACATCTACGAGTGTCTAGGAAATGCCACATGCTATTCTGACAGGAAGCTTCTTAAAAAATGCAGTAAATAAAAGGTATTTTTTTCCTTGGCAAGTTGGAAGCAAGAACAGACCTCTTACCAGCACCCTTCCATCATTGGTCAAGACTGATTATGCTTAGCAAATTTGTGACTGCATGGTTAAGACAATAAAGGTGAATTAAGACCAGGCGCGATAATTCACACCTGCAACGCCAATTCTTTGAGAGGTCAAGGCAGGAGGACTGCTTGAGCCCAGGAGTTGGAGACTGGCCTAGGCAACACAGTAAGACTTTGTCTCCACAAAAAATAAAAAAATTAGCCAGGTATGGTGGGTGGCACAGGCCTGTAGTCCCAGTTACCTGGGGGAATGAGGAGGAAGGACTACCTGAGTTTGAGGCTGTGGTGAGCAGTGACTGTGCCACTGCACTCCAGCCTGGGCAACAGAGCAAGACCCGACTCAAAAGAAAAAAAAAAAGGCAAATGAATTTTCCATTTCTAGCAACAGAGCAGCCTAGATAAGTGAAACCTTCCTGCGGGAAAATAATTCAGGGAGGATGTCACTCACAATCTTTGAAATGTACTCTTAACTCATGCCTGGCTGATCAATTAACCTAACAGAGAACTGAATTACTTTGAAGTTACTGGGGGGAAAAAAAGAAACGTGCTTTATTTTCCATCATACTTTAGGTAAATACAATCATGCTTATATCTCCACTTGACTCACTTCTAGAGGACATGCAAAGTGTACTTTTCAAAGAAAACCATAAGTAAAACTAGTAACATTCAAAGCTCTCGCTCATCAGATTTACGAGAACTCCACTGAGTATGGTTTTGGCTCCCCTGGGAAATGGACGGGAACAGGGCCAGTGAAATGTATTTAACACAAAGATTTTGCCCCCATCACTGCTGAAGACTCAAGAAGACTGGCAGAAATGAGTAATAGCGGGCTCAAAATTACGCCCTCCCTTCTGCTGTGGAATGCTATTACTGGGGCTAGATGAAACAGAAAGAATCGTGCTAATTCTAACTTTGCTAATCTGCATTTGCAATGACTCGTAAGGCAAGCAGTCGCACCCCATTTCTCTGTAAATATTTTGTCAACAAGAGCAGCAGTGAGGTCTCAAATCTTTAGGACCAGATCCCTTTATGGGGGACTGCAGATGACAGCACATTTGCCAGAATGTGACGCAGAGCCATCCGTCACCCGTAACTAACACTCTGCATTTGCACAGCGCCCTTCTCCACACTCCTCAGAAGCCTTTGCGACCTGCCTTGCTAGCCTCCACCTTGACAGGAGGCACCTGGCAAGCGACAGAATCCTCCATGGGGCTGCTGAGGTTCCAGAAGGCAAAGGCCTTTCCGGCCGCTCCCCCTGGGTCACTGGCTCAGAGGACACCAGACATTCCATATGGTCTGGACAGTTTTTTTAAACAGCATCATCCTTGGTCTCCTGATAGTAAAATGACCGCTAATTTAATGAGCTCAAGTGCCAAGTGCTTAGGACGGTGGTGCCGGTACATGGTGCTGCTCAGCACACTTCAGCGAGTACCTCTGAGGTCCCCCTGCATGGCTGGCACACTCTGGGGAGGGAAGCTGCAGGCTGCCATGCTATGGGGAAGTGAGAGGAGGCCCGAGGAAAGAGTGAGGATTTTGTGCCAGGCAGGTATGGCCCCTGGGGACACAGATATCAACCAGACCCAGCCCAGGAGGCAAGAAGAGAGGCAGACAGGTGGAGATGGGTGCGAGGAGGAAAACAGGGAAGTGCAGGAACGTCCAGGAGGGGATGTGGCCCAGACAGCAATAAAGAGAAAACACCAAAGAACATGAAGATAGTCACCGTAAGAGAATTTTATTATTTCCGACTGAGGTTAAGCACAAGTCTGTTATCCAACATAAGCACTTAATGAAAGCGTTCCTGACATTTTTAAGGCAGTTATTTTGATTTATGAACTGTGCTCTTGGCTATCCTTAATGATTATCTTTTATAGTGGATTGCTATTTTTTTTTTTTTTTTGAGTTGGGATCTTACTTTGTCGCCCCGGCTGGAGGACAGTGGTACGATCACAGCTCACCACAGCCTCACCTCCAGGGTTCAGGTGATCCTTCCACCCCAGCCTCCTGAGTAGCCAGGATACAGGTGTGCCACCATGGCCAGCAAATTTTTATTTTTTCATTTTTTGTAGAGATGAGGTCTTGGTATGCTGCCCAGGCTGGTCTCAAACTCCTGGGCTCAAGCGATCCTCCCACCTCAGACTCCCAAAGTGTGGGGATTATAGGCGTGAACCACTGCACCTGGTCTTTTTTTTTTTAATATCTAGTCCGCAAAACTGTTGACTTTCTGGTAACATCAGACGAAAGAAGAACAATATGAGCTTCCTCCTGAAAAAGGCTTTCCCACGGAATCTCGGTAGGACATCTGAGGATTCTTTCTGCGGTTAGGCCCGAATCCCGCAGCCTACAGAGGTACCTTTCTGCCAACCTCACTGGGCCCAGAATGTCAGGCCTTCCTCTAATTCTGGACAAGACTGACTGGCCTTGGAGAATGCTGACTGATGGTGACAGTCACCCTAAAGAGCTCACAATGGAAGACTAAAGAAGCTGCCTTGAAGTCCCTTGAGGAATTGAACTGTGAGATTAACTGCCCTGGGGCTCTGACCCTGAAGAGGGACAGAAGGAAGCAATAGAGCCCGAGGTACAGAGCTTTAGCATGCTCCATGAATGAGTCACCCCTGAAAAGGTGCTCGCCCTGTGATTTGCCCAGAAGATTACTGGGCCCAAACCTCAGCCCTAGAGAAGTGTGAAGTGAAGCCTCAAATCTCAGAGCCCACATTCACCAGCACCAATAAGTTGCCTCCTCTCTTCTTAGGCATAAATAAGTTGTTTCGCTTGTAATTCACAAAGCCTGGCTGTTTACTTTTCAATTCAAAGAAAATAAGAGTCCAGCTTGAAATTTCTCCCAGGGAGTTAATGTGTACAGTTTATGCCTCGGATCTTAAAATCTCCGTATGGATATGTCTCTATATGCAGTTTAATTACTGTACTTTGATTTGGTATCATTCCAACAGATACGCTTTAATGCAACTCACGACCCTGGGGACAGGAGAGCCAGAGCAGGCTGTGGCTGCACAGTCCTGGAGACAGCCCCGCCATATGTGTAAACAAAAATACTCCTGCCCACAGCAGACATGGACCTGCTGTGGTGGAATGAAAGTCAGGGTTTTCCTTAAAGGAAATCCCTTTGAAAAGAATGAGAAAGAAAAAATAATCCCTTTGAGGTACTTTTTTAAACCAATGAAACAACATCACCTCCAAAGTCAATTTTCTGTTGCAGTGGAACGACTTTCTAAAACCTCATGCCTCTTAAGCCCTCTGGCATCAGTCAGCCATCTTTCTTCCCCAGTGCCAGTTAGTTTTGTTGTTGAGAGCCTCTGTCATCAGTGAAAAATATTGCCTCCTCTGTTACGTACCATATTTAAAGAACCGCTCCTATTCACTGTGATGAGGCAGAGAATTCCTGCCCTACAGTGAGGACAGCTGACATAGGTAATGGAAATCATTACTGTAACAAGAGGGCCCAAACTGTCACAAAAAGAAGTCATGTTTCGCTATGGTTTCTGTTGCTAGGAGACTGACTCTATAACACTAAGGTGTGCAATTAAGACCCTAAGAGAACCGCATACATTGAGGCGACTTGGTTTCTGGGACCCAAGGCCTTTGATCTTCTCTCACCAGTGCCTTCCATATGGCTTGACTGTCACTCGAAAGGAGAGCAGAAATGGAAATCGACCAGCTTGGACAGAGTCCAAAGTGCAAACAGGAACTGTGCCCAGAAAGAGGAGGAGGCGACATGAACATATAAAGGCTGCTTAGACTCCCATGTTCTAGGAAAGATGGCTCTTTCCCGGATTTAACTTGCTTGGCTCAGAAGTTTAGAACTTGCTTAAAAGAAAAAGAAAAAGCACTTTTTAGAAAAATCTGGATGAGGAAGAAACTGGGGGTGAAAAAGTCATCTTGAGAGACTAATGATAAAAATTATGTCTGTTCCTTTGCTTCTTCTGTCGGTATGAAGAGCTGTCATCAGCCTATAATTAATCACCACCATGATATTAACAACAATGACTTTCCATTGTTTCTGTTACTTAAAAAAAAAAACACCTGTACATTCTTAGTAAATATTAACCGCCAAAAAAATTTTTTTAAAGTTGTGCAACTGGGCTTAATCGAGTCATTCTAATCTGCCCGCCACTCCCACAGGTACAGGCTATGCTTTGGATACTTTACACAGAAATGAGTCTTCACAGGGCGGGAATGAGTTGAGCTAAAACTCTCAGGAATGGGCACGTCCCGGGCTGCAGAAGTTTCGTGTTAGGATGAGACCGAGCCCTCCGGCGAGCCCGCACTCACCTGCGAGAACCTAAGTGTCCCTCCGCGCAGGGACTTCAGGGCGGTGGGACCCCACACTGCGGCCCCACCAGGGCCCTTCCCCGCCCGGCGCCCCCGAGCCCCGGCGACCACGGGTTCGAGCCCGCCCTCGGCACCCGCGCGCGGAGAGAAAGTGGAAACGAGGCAGTACCGGCGGGCGGGTGTCCAGCTTTAGTCTCTAGTTTCCCTTCGGGCGGCGAAGACATGATGCCACTGGGTGTCTCAGGGGTCAGGCGGCGGCGGCGGAGCGGTTAGCGCGCCAGGCGGGAGCTTGCGGGCCACGCCGGGGAGGGAGCGAACTAGCGGCGCGCGTGGGGCGCCGGGGCCGCGCGAGTCGACTCACCACCGCCGTCGGGGAGGGGGCGCGGTCGCCGCCCGCCGACGTGGCGCGGCCCCGCCCACCCGCGATGTGCGCGCTGGCGTCACCGCGGCCCGGCCCCGCCCCGCCGAGCCCGCGAGGCGCGTGTACAGAGCATGCGCAGTCGGCAGCGCCACGTTGGACTTGGTGGCGGAGCGCGTAGCGGGAGGGGCCGGAGATGGCGGGAGGAGGCGTTTGGGGTTAGAGGCGGCAGGGGGGTGTGTCGGTGGGGCGGTGAGGCTCGCAGGGGGCGGGAGGAGTCGCAGGAGGCTAAAAAGGGCCCTGCAGAAGGATGGCTCCCATGGGGCTCCGGCTAGACGGGGACGGCGGCGGGGTGGCCGAGCCGGCACCGGGCGGGCGCCCGGGGCTGAGACGCCTCGGCAGGAAGGGGCCGTAATGAAGTGCGGAGATGAGACCCCAGATGGGAGCGACCGGGGGCTCGAGGGGAGCCCGGGTTTGTGACAAGACGATGCAAAGGGGAGGAGTTGCTGAGCGAGAAAAGGCGCGCGGGGACGCCTGGACGGTGACATCCGTGCCTGTGCTCTCTGCGGTGGCCTTCCCGTTGCGAGGGCACCCGATTCGTCCAGAGCTGACCCTTGGGTCGAGTCCCTCTGACCTTCCCCTGCTCTTCGCGTCTGTCTTGCACCACTGCACCATCTGTCGGTCCCTGCTGGTATCTTGAGAGAGGACACGACCCCCTCCTCTCGGGGCTGCACTTTTGCCTTTGACCACAAAACTGATCAGGGAGGTTCAGCACCTCACCCCTTCTCATTCCCTCCTGCAGTCTAGTTCATCCGGTTTTCATCTAGCTGCCCTGCGGCTGCCCCTAACCACGGGAAGCTCTTTCGTTGCGGTCACCCATGTCCTCCGTGCTGCCACATCCAATGGTCATTCTTCACTTTCTTTCCCTTTGGCCTCCCAGCGGCTCGCGAGGTAGCTGGCCGGCCTCCTCCTTTAATTCTCAGGTGCCACCAGCCTGTTGTGCCCGTCCAGTTCCTGGACCACCCAGACTGCTCACTCTCAGCCGGCTTGGCTGGTTCCCCTTCTTACAGATGTATACCCATCTGAGTATTCTGAGGCTCAGCGAGGGCTCTCTTCTCTAGCCAGACTTTCTGTAGATGGTCACATGCAGCCCTGTACAGATGCACATGCTTTGCCGATGCTAACTCTGCAGACCTGTTTCTCGGTTTCTGTCCTTCCTCTGAATCCCAGACTCACCTTTTACCACCTCCTTGCTGTCTCCACCTGTTGTCTAACTCAGTGCTGCCCAGCTCTTTGTGCCTCAAGACGCACTTAGAAATGCTCACACCATACCTTGATCTTGCATCTGCCCCCCCCCCCCATTTTAACATCACTAATAGCAGAATCTGCTGTTGGCCAGGTGGCAGTCACAGTCTGGATTGTCAGTGTCTAGCATTCTTGTCAAAATTTGCAGATGGGTGCCCACAGCTTAGAAGAAAGTCTTGAAATCAATAGCAGAGCACTCTTAAAAGACACCACATCGCTCACATTCTTGAAGCTTTACAAATACACAGCCAGCCCGGTGAGGTGACTCCTGCCTGTAATCCAAGTGCTTAGGGAGGCCAAGATGGGAGGATCATTTGAGCCCAGGAGTTTGAGACCATTCCAGGCAACATAACAAGATCTCTATAACAATTTTAAAAAATTATCTGGGTGTGGCAGTGCACTCCTGTAGTCCCAGCTACTTAGGAGGCTGAGGCAGAAGGATCTCCTGAGTCCAGGGAGTCAAGGCTGCAGTCAGGCCTGATTGTGTCACTGCACTCCAGCCTGGGTGACAAAGTGAGACCCTGACTCCAAACAAACAAACAAAACTTTAACCAATTTGTGTTTGTGCAAAAGTGATATATGGTTAAAAACATATGTTTTAATAAGTCCAAAAGAACCACTTCCCCGAAGTATAAAGTAAAAAATTCAGGTTGAAAGAAAACACTGGAGCCGGGCTCGGTGGCTCAGCCTGTAATCCCGCACTTTGGGAGGCTGAAGTGAGTGGATTGCCTGAGCCCGCGGGTTCGAGACCCGCCTGGGCAACTTGGCAAGACCTCATCTCTACAATAAATCAAAAAATTAGCCGGGCGTGGTAGCGCACGCCTGTAGTTCCAGCTACTTTACTTGGAAGGTCAAGGCTGCAGTGGCCGGGAGCGGCCACTACATTCCAGTCTGAGCGACAGAGTGAAATCCAACTCAAAAAAAAAGAAAGAAAACATTGGATCCAGTTTAATTGGCAGCGTTTTTTCCCTTAGGGGTACATAAATAAAACTGCATGTTATGAGTGATGATATCTCAGACACACTAACAAATACTATTGGTAGGGACCACAAGGTGAAGCAAGGAGCCTTTGGAGGAAGGAGTAGGGGGTCCTAGGGGTGCTGGCGCCCCAGACGCCACTGGGCTACCCTGAGGCCTGACAGGATCTGCATCTTTGCCTGTGACCTATTATACTGGTTGAGACACTCTGGATGACAACCATGCTGCAGCTAATGTTTTCTGATAATTTGCTTTCAATCATGAACACTTGTATGTGTGTGCATTTGTGTGTGTACGTGTGTGTGTGTGCGTGTGCATGCATGGGGGGTGTTCAGCCCCACCAGGCTGAGATGCTGAGAATAAATTCTAGGTATCACCCACTGGAAACTTTCTGTGCAGATGTGTATGCTCAATGGATATGATTAGAATTGTTGAATGAATACTCTTATTTGACTCTCACAATAACTGGAAAAAAGACAAGTTAACCCATTTTATCAAGAAAAACAAAAGCAAACAAAATGGAGAAGAGAACAAAATGGAGAAGAGGATTGTTGGACCTGTTTGTTTGTTTTGAGGCAGGGTCTCACTCTGTTGCCCAGGCTGGAGTGCAGTGGCATGCTCACTGCCACCGCAGCCTTGACCAGCTGGGCTCAGGCCATCCTTCTGCCTCAGACTTCCAAGTACCTGGAACTACAGGCCATGCCACCGTGCCTGGCTAAATTTTTTGATTTATTGTAGAGACGAGGTCTTGCCAAGTTGCCCAGCCTGGTCTCAAATCCTAGGCTGGGTCAGTCCTCTCACCTCAGCTCCCAAAAGTGCTGGGATAAGAGGTGTGAGCCCCTACACCCGGCTTGTTGGACTTATGTTAAAATACAACTCTGGTCAATATGAGCTGGGATCAAAAGCTGGGTTGTCTAAGCCTCAATCCCATTGTCCCCCACTGTTGGCTAACTCCTGAATAGAGTTTGGGAGATGTTTCTTCTTCTCGAAATAAACTGTTTTCGAATCCCAAATGGTATGGAATCTAAACCACTACTTAACGTGAATACTGTAAGCACTGGGAAAGTTTCCAAAGAGGAAACAGAAAATGTATGTGTCCTTCTCCATGTGTATATTTTGTAACTGTGGTTGCATCACTAACCTTTCTGATCTCAGTTTCCTTATCTGAAAATCAGAGACATGAATGCTAGTACCTCTCTCAGGGGTGCTGTGAGAATTCAGGGCTTTGACTAACCCTGATGAGACTTATTCAACATTGAATCATCCCATTTACTCCCCAAAGGATTCTTAGACACAGGGAGTTCTCTGCCCTTCTTGATGGAGAAATTAAACCTGTGGGACTCCAGGATCGGTAGCTAGTATGGGGTGACCCGTACTGGTCATACCTTTGAAAGTGCTTTGTAACTGGGCACAATGAATCCCCCGTGTGATGATGTTGAGAGGTGGGGTACTTTGGGAGTCAGAGGTGAGAAAATTGCCTGAGTCCAGGGAGTCGAGAGCAACCTGGTCAACTTGGTGAGGCCTTGTCTCTACAATAATCAAAAAATTAGCCAGGTGTGGTGGAGCACGCCTGTGGTACCAGCTACTCTGGGGGAAAGATCACCTGAGCCCATTAGGTCAAGGCTCCGGTGTCCGTGAGTGTGCCATCACATTCCAGCCTGGGTGACAGAGTGAGACACGTAATCAAAAAAGTGCTTTGTAAGCCATAATGTACTACTAGAGAATGCGTTGTTTATTACTGTACAGGGAGTTTTTAAAATCACCGTGCTTGAAATACATGAATTGTCCCAGACTGTATTAAATTGCTTTCTTATTCCAGGCTGGTCCCCACGTTCTGTCTTCTTGTGCTGTTGTCTTATAGATGGGTGAGAATGTCTGTAGTCTTATTCACTACTGCTGTGGTTTGAATGTGTCCCCCAAAGTTCATGTGTTGAAAACTGAATCCCCAGGTGATGGTGTTGAGAGGTGGGGTCTTTAAGAAGTCATTGTGTCACACAGGCTCTGTTCTCATGAATTAATTAAGGCTGTTATTGAAGGAGTGGGCTCATTATCTTGGGAGTGGGTTCCTGATAAGAGAATGAGTTCAGTACTCTCCACTCTTCCTCTCCTGTATGTTCTCTTGCCTTTCTGCCTTGTGCCTTGAGATGATGCCGCAAGAAAGCAGTCACCAGTCATAGGACCCTTGACCTTGGACTCCCCAACCTCCCGAACAGGAAGAAATAAATGTTTTTTTAAATAAATTATACAATCTCCAACATTCTGTGATAGCAGCAAAAAATGGACTCAGAGAGTGACAGAATTTCTCTTCTATTGCTGATCCTGCTCATAAAGAGAGGGCATCAATCATTCTCAACCAGAATTTTTTAATTATATTATGTAGCCTTTAAATAATGTTAATTTAAATGTAATTTATTTGACACACATACACATACAATACTTGGAGAGGATACATGTGTCCCAAAGTCAAAGAAAAATGATAGAACATCACATCTTACGTGCACGCACACAGGCACACAAGCAAGGAATATTTGGGATTTCTCTGGGCCTCGACTTGTCACTCGGTCACACTTTCAGGTATTTTTCAAAAGTAATGTAGGTCAGTTTCAGTTACATGAGGTTATACTTTACTTAAGGATATTTGAAGAAAAATTAAGCAGCCTGAACCT